TTTGAAAGGAAGAGTTACAGAGAGGTCTTCCATCTGCTGGTTCACCCCCACAATGGCCACAGTGGCTGGAGCTGGGCAAATCCAAAGCCAGGAGCCAGGAGCTTCTTCCGGGTCTCCCACGTGGGTGCAGGGGCCCAAGCACTTGGGCCATCTTCTACTGCTTTTCCAGGCCATCAGCAGGGAGCTGGATTGGACGTGGAGCAGCCGGGACTCAAACTGGTGCCCATATGGGATGCCACAGGCAGCAACTTTACCCGCTATGCCATAGTACGGCCTCCAAGGGGCTGTACAAACCTTTCCAAGAAGGTTTGTAACTCCACGTGATCTGCAGCCTAGCCAGATCTCCGTGAATGTTCCCCACGCACTCGCAGCCCAGGATCTGAGGTCCATGTGTTGTGTGTGGCTCTGAGGCTCCTTCAGTCTCTGACTGTGGAAGCGTCACCCTGCTGTGCTTCTGTTACTTGCCTCAGCCCTGACCTGTTGTCTCGTCTGGGTGTGGCCCGTTCCTGGACAGGCAGTGCTGGGGGCCGCGTCTTCCTGTTGAATCACATCAGGAGGTAGTCATGCGGGCTTCTGTGACCGGTGAAGGTGGTGAGAGCCAGCTGTCTCCGTTGTAAGGGAGCATTTTCCTCTTGTGATTAATGGTACTCTGGGGAGTGAAACTTTGGCAGGATGCATACCTTCTCCCAACAACAGTCCTCCAGGACAAACCCAAAGGGGTTTTCTTTAAAGATTTATTTACTTGAAACGCAGTTAGAGATCTTCCATCCGCTGGTTCACTTCCTAAATGGGTGCAATGGCCAGGGCTGGGCCAGGGTGAAGCCAGGAGCCAGGAGCTTCTTCCCGGTCTCCCATATGGGTGCAGGGACCCAAGAACTTGGGCCGTCTTGTGCTGCTTTCCCGGGTGCATCAGCAGGGAGCTGGGTTGGAAGAGGGACTGGGACTCAACCGGCGCCCATGTGGGATGCCACAGCGCCGGCCCCGACGTGCCCGCTGCCTTACCGTGTCAGCTCCCTCAGAACTACGCGGCATCCACATTTTATGCACCTAGGAGGCTTTGCCCATGGGCCTCCCGCTGCGTGCTCCTGCTGGTGCCTGTGCTCCTGGTGCCGTGGTTCCTCGTGTGTTTTTGTGAGATGCCTCTCTGCCAACTCTGGACTCAGTCCCGGGGTGAAGGTGAGCCCCTCCTGGGAAGATGGACTGAGGTGTGGGGGATGTCAATGGCAGCAGAAACCCGAGGGCCTGAGGCTGAGCCCCCAGTCCTGTCCTTATCGGGGCTTTCCTGGGAGAGCAGTCACCGCAAGAGGCCTCCAAGCTTTGCCTTATGTCTCCTGGAGGACATCAGAACCAATTCGTTCCCTCGTCCAGCACAAGCCCAGGCAGGAGCCAGCTGCTGGCTTCGCAGGCCTCATGAGGTTGCAGCATTATTATTATTATTATTATTATTACTACTACTACTACTACTACTACTACTACTACTACTACCATTATTACTATTAGTGCTCTCATCCGGTTCACTCCCCGAATCTGCAATGGCTGGGACTGAGCTGGGGCTGAAGCCACAAACGACAAACAGTCCAGGTCTCCTAGTGGCTTGAGCCGTCAGCACTGCCTCCCAGGGTCTGTGTTAGGAGGAAGCAGGAGTCAGGTCAGGTTCCCCAGCATAGCGTGTGGGCATCCTCACTACAGTTTTAATCACTAGGCCAAGCGCCTGCTCCCCGTCCCCACCCCCGGCTGGATTTTTATGTAGTATTGTTCTCTAAAGTTTCCATACTTTTTTTTTTTTTTTTTGCCAATTCAGCAATGGCTTTGACATTTTAAAAGATTTTTTAGTTTATTTTTTTCAATGTGAAGGACAGAGGGACAAAGCAGTCGACTTTCGGGGTCACTCCCCAGATGGCCACGGCAGCCGGGACTGGGCTGGACCCAGGTGGCAGGGAACGAAGTACTTGACATCACCCGCAGTTTTCCGGGCACATGAGCCAGGAGCCTGATCGGAAGCAGAGCACCCAGGACTTGAACCTGCGCATCCTGTACGGGATCCTGGCATTGTTGGCAGCGCCCACAACGACCATCTTTGAAGTTTGTTTTTTGTTTCATCAGCACTGGGGGCAGGGTTGTCCATGGCATCCCTCCTGAAAAGCACCCGTGCCCTTGAGCAATGCCCAGGTCTCCGGAGAGCCTGTCCCAGCATTCTCACCCACCCAGGAGGACCCAGGGGGCTGGGGCAGGCGGGGCAGTGCCCAGGCTGTGCCGGCTGGTGGCTCCCCTGCTCCGCTCCTCTGCTCTGCCGAAGTGTTCAGTGAACAGTGGTCCTGCAGTCTTGGCGCCAGCAGCTGCTAGCCCTGCTCATTTGCCTTGAATCACGTGTGGGTTCCGTGTGCCCTGCAGGCCATGGGCAGGTCTGTGCCAGCGCCCAGGTGTTGCATGCCCACTCTGCTACCCCCACAAGGGGTGCCCTCGGATACCTGCGGCTGCTCTGCCTACCTGGTGGGTGAGCGTGTGCCACCTCGTTGCCTAGGGCACTGCCTGGTGGGGCAGCGTGGACGGGGAACACTGCCATCGTCACTTTGTGTGCTGAGTCCAGGAGCCCCGCAGGGTTTTTGGGGAGGGGTGCGTTTATAGCATCTTCTGGAAGAGCTCTTGGTTACGCCGAATGTGTCAGATTGTCTTAACTTTTGAAAGAACGGGTCTGGCTCTGACATCTCCAGGAGCGGGCAGTACACGTGTGGTGCCATGGTGGATCCCGTCTCCTTTCCTTTGCCCCAACGTTGCCGTGAGGCGGGTCCCGCACATCCCTCACTCTGGGGGCTGCGGCCTCTGCTCTGGGCGGCCCAGCGCCAGGGGAGATAGGATAATGCGATTATTCTCAATTAGATTAATAAAGAATAATTAGGTGTCATAAATCAAGCACTCCTAGGATATTGTCATGGGAAAAATATGCAGCTAGAATTAATTAGTTCTCAAATAAAGCGTTTATTTTAATTGCTTGCAATGATGGAGGCCTTAATTGGCGATGCATCATTCTGGCCTGAGTTGAGGGGTTGTTGTAACGACGTGACGGGTTTGTTCCCCGCCGTCCTGGGGGAAGACAATAGCAGGGGGCCTCGATTTCATCGCCTCAGTGGGCCTCTGCGGCTTCCCGCCAGGCTGCAGGCAGGTGGCAGGTGTGGGCTGGGCTTCAGCTGGCACCGCCCCTGTGTGTGTGTGTGTGTGTGTGTGTGTGTGTGTGTGTGTGAGCTCTTGCACATGTGTGGTCATGAACATGTGTGTGTTCCTGTCTGAGGACACAGGTGTGTGTGTAGGCGTGCGTGGGTGTAAAATGGGCACATGTGTGCACCTCTGTGAGTGCTGGGTGTGCCGTGTCTGGCCTGCACATGGGAGCCTGTGGAGGTGGTTGTCAGACTCCGTTGCCCACACCAGCCTTGTGGGAGGCCCCAGCCTGGACTTGAGTTGAGGGACATCAGCCGATCCTGCCTTCTGGGGCTCCTGGGGTGGGGCCCTGCAGCCCTGTGCCCTAGCCCAGCTGCCACTCTGTCCTGGCAGGCTCAGCGCAGGCAGGCAGCGTTCCCCAGGCTAGTGTGCCCGAGGGCAGCCTTGGAGCGTCCGGTGCCCTGGCCTGGTGACACCTGCAGGAGACTGACCTTCAGCGACCAGGGCCGGGGCTGGCAGGAGGCCGCCCTTGCATCTGGGGAGGGTCAGTTCTGGCTTTTAGCCAAAGGGGGGAGAGGCTGTTAGGCAGAAACACTCTCCCCCACCCAACCATGAATAAAGGGAAGAACGGGACAGCCTCCTCACTGGGGAGGAGCTTCCCCTGCCGCGGCCCCTGCTGTGTGGCCCCAGGCCTCTGCCACCCCCTCCTCCCCAGTCCACCTGCCCGAGCCCCTGGTGGTCTCGGAACTTGGCTCCGGGCTCCGCCTGCCCTCTGAGCTCTGCCAGCCATTCTCCTTGACAGGCATCTCCTAGGCATTCGGAACCTTCTGCTCCTGTCATCGGCTGCTGCCTGTCTGTCCAGGAGAGGCGGGGCAACGGGTGGACGTGGTGTGGGAGGTGGGTGGGTGGGGCTGAAGGAGTGCCCGCTGGAAGGCCATGCTCTCTTGCCTGTGCACCTGCGTGGCGTCCACCCTCAGCCTGGAGCCCCTCCCTCCCACCTCCACTTGGTCTTCAGCCCCGGCCCCTCCTGCCTATCTTTGCTGCTGGTCTTTGAGCCACCCCAGCTGGCAGGTGGCCCTCAGAGCAGGCTGCTCCTGGCCCAGGCCCCTTGGGGGTGCCAGGAGGGGTGCTGCAGGATTAAGTGGGTGGGGTGGGCTCAGCGGGGACACTGGGGAGTCGCTGCTGCAGGGTGGAGTGGACTCCATGCAGCAGGCCTTGAGCAAAGGTCACGTGATCTGGGGAGCAGCCCTGTGAGAGTGACCAGGGGATCAGACTGGCGACACACCAGTGTGCTGGACAGCCTGCCCCTTGGTGGCAGCACACAGGCTAACAGTGCTGTAACAGTTAGAGATTGTGGTGGTGGAGGACCCAGCGGGGCTGCTGGCTGCACAAGTGGGGAGGGCCTGCCTCCCCTCCACCTCCTGCCCAGGGGCCGCCACATCCCCCCATCCGTGCAGCGTGCAGCGTGAGTGAGTCTTGTGCGTGCCTGGGAGCTGGCCTGCCCACGTCAAGGATAGGGGCTGGGGGGAGCCCTAGAGCAGCCTGGACAGGTGTGGATGCTGCTGTCCCTCCTGGGGAGGTGTAGGTTGGGACCCGGGTCAGGGACCGGTTGGGTGCAGAGGCTGACGGGGGAGGGGAGGCACGGGCATCCAGGGAGGGCTCCCGGATTTCCACTGGGAGCAGGGATCAGAAGAGGCCGGCAGCTGGGAGAAGGTGCTCGTGGCGCCACCCTGCTGCTGGTGCAGGGGTCTCCCCCACCCTGCCTCTCTGTCCCCACCCCAGGAGGGCTGGGGCTCTGAGCAGTGTCTCACACACCTGTGTGCCAGCACTCACACATCCTACCTCAGCCCCCAGGTGTCTGCACGCTGCCCGCCATGGCGGCCCCTGGCCACCCGCCGCCACCGCCAGACCCCCAGTTTGTCCTCCGAGGCACCCAGGCAGCAGTGCATGCCCTGCACTTCCACGGAGCCGACGAGGTTCAGGGGCACCCGCTTCTCTTCTCGGGGTGAGTAGCTGCCTCAGGCCTGATCCCAGAGCGAGGCGGAGGCTAGGGTGGTGGCTAGCGAGAGCCCGATGGACACGCTGAGCCCTGGAGTGCTCTGCTTGGAGCTGCAGAGGCACAGCCTGAAGTGCGGGTGCCGACTGAGCCCCTGGGGTCTGCATGCGCCCTGCCTCCTCCTGCTCTGGAGAGCAGTGGCTGCTGCCGAGCCTGGGAGGGCGGCCTCCTGCCCGTCTCGCCCTTGGGTCCAGGGTAGAGCTCCCCCAGGCGAAGCGCCCATGTCCATCAGCTGTTGGCCGCAGAAGGCAGCGCCCGGCCCCTCCCATGCATGTCTTGGCTCCTACAGGTGTCAGAGTGGCCTGGTGCACATCTGGAGTCTGCGGACACGGAGACCCGAGGCCATCCTGGACGGCCACGGGGGCCAGTGTGTGACCTGGCTGCACACGCTGCCCCAGGGGCACCAGCTCCTCAGGTGGGTCCAAGGGGAACCAGGAGTTCTGAGGGAGGCCTGTGGCTCCATCTTGGTGGCTGGAGGTTGGGGCAGGGAGGGGAAGGGGCCAGAGGGCCCACCCAGGTTGGCCATGCTGCATGTCCCCTTGCAGCCCCCTGTGGCACTGGGGAGTGGGCGGGGCTGACAGCAGAGTGTGCCCCTTGCCTGGGTTGGCACGGCCCACCTGCCTGTTCTCAGCACTGTTGTGTGTGACTGAGCCACAGCGCATGAGGTACCAGGCACCATGCTCTACTTTTTATTTGTTTTGAGATTTAATTTTTTATTTATTCGAAAGGCAGAGTTACAGAGAGAGGAGGAGAGACAGGTCTTTCATCCACTGGTTCACTCCCCAAATGACCACAATGACTGGGGCTGGGCCAGGCCAGAGCCAGGAGCCAGGAGCTTCTTCCAGGTCTCCCACGTGGGTGCAGGGGCCCAAGCACTTGGGCCATCTTCTACTGCTTTCCCAGATAATAGCTGAGAGCTGGATCAGAAGTGGAGCAGCCCGGACTCAAACCGGCATCCGTATGGGATACTGGGATGCGGGCACTGCAGGTGGAGGCTTTAGCCACTACACCACAACGGCCTACTTCAGTGTGGTTCTGGGCAGCTGTGGTGAGGGGTCCTGCTCCCCATCAGCTCCCTGCAGCATCCCCTGTGATCTCTGCTGGTCCAGGCTCCCTCTGAGGGTGCCTGCGTGCATGTGCACATGTGTACACGCATGTGCATGTGTGCTTCCTGTCCCCCACAGATCGCCTGGATATCAACTTGTGTAGGCACTGGCCCAGCATCCGTTTAGCTCACCCTTTTCTGGGGCCCTTGGCCGTCCCGAGGCAGCACATGTGGCAGGTGCTGGCTGCTGGCCCCCATGGCCTCTGTGAATCCGTGGCGCCCCCGGATGGGGGCCTGCTGAGAAGCACCTGAGCAGACACGGGTGCTGTGCCTGGGAGCCAGTGCTGGGCTGCAGCGCCAGCAGAGCCCCGGGTGCTGCCAGGCCTGCTGCTGCCCCTCTGGGGGCCTGCACGCCTCCCATTCAGAGCAGGCACGTGCTGCCGCCCTCCCGGCTCAGCTCCAGAAGGGCAGGCCTGTTCCGCTCCAGACCCAGCGCCTGGGGTTCCTGGGCACTGGGGATCAGATCCCTGGCAGACCAGGCCTGTCTGGCCCCCACCCCATCTAGACGGCACTTCCTGTGCCAGACTCAGATGGTACCCTCCCCCCACCTGAAGACAGCTGTCAGGTGGCAAGGGGCGAGCATTGTTTGGGGGTCCCTGGGTTCTTCCAGGGTCCTCCCAGCCTCACCTCAGTACCCTCAGAGGTTTCTCCTGAGTGACGCTGGGCTGTGCTCCCAGTCAGGGGCCGTGTGGGAGGCGGGGTGGCCCTGGGTCAGAGCTCCGCAGGCAGAGACGGCAGGTGCGCAATGGCCAGGTGCATTTATGGGGCACTGGAGGCCGCCCGCCGTGGCCGCGCTCAGCGCTCAGCTGTGTTTGCACGCCGAGCCCCTCCGAGTGGCCCTTGAAGAGCCCTGCGCTTTCATGTCCCCCAGCCCCACCGCACCTGCGCCTGCCACAGCCACCTTGGCTCGGCATTTCTTTCACCTTTTTTTTTCTTTCTGTTGTTGAATGGAGCACACTTCAGAGACGGCCATTGTGTTATCAGAATGTGTGCCCGGGGACCTCCTCCCCCAACCATCGCCTGTACCCCACCCCCAGAGGCAGAGACCACCCCCACTCCTGTCCCAGCCTCTCCTTCTTGCTTTACTGCCTGGATGTGTCTGAAGAGCTTAGACTAGTTTTGTCCATTTCTTCCCCTTAACCTTAAAAAAAAAAAATGGAGCCATAAAGGACACAGCTTCCCTGCACTCTGCTTCCCCCACGAGGTCCCCTCCCCGCCCCTGGGGGCCTTGCGTGTGGCTGCACGTGATCCCGGACACGGCTCTTTGCTGTGTGTCTCCTGGCTGTGTGCCCACATCTCACCTCCTCCTGTTGGAGGCGTCCTGGGTGCCCACACTTCATGCTGGGGCCCTCTGGGGCATGCTGCCGGCCATGGCATAAACCCCTGTTACCTCTCTGCTCTCGCCCACTTCTCTGTGGGAGCAGCTGTTGTTCTCTCAATAGGAGTCTTTTTTTTCTTTTTACATGTATATTCTGGACGTGGTGGATGCTTTTCATCACCACTCTGTTTCCCCTGCACAGTGGCGTGCGTTTTCCACTCTGTCACAGTGCCTTAATGATCCGAATTATTATTCGTCTTCATGGAGTCAGATCCGCCAGGCCCTTTGGCAAATTCCCGTCTTGGCCCGTGCCTCCCGTGTCTCGCGGGGGACACCAGCTCTGTGAGGTTTCTTGAAGCCACGGCTGGCCTGGAGAATTCCAGGCCAGGGTGCAGGGTGGGCTGTGCCTCCCACATGGAAACCCATGGTTCCCCCCAACACCAAGCCGGAGAAGGGCTAAACAAGAGCACGTCGCCTAGTGGGTCACAGCTGTGCAGAGGCGAAGGCAAGCTAGAGCCCTGGTCGGGTGGGGGGGCCTTGGCCATGGGAGAGGTGTGTGTGTCCGTGTGGCTGATATCAGTGTGTGCGCGTGTGCGTGTGTGCACTGCGGTTTGGACGTCCCCTCGGAAACTCCTGCTGAATTCTCCCTGTCCCCGGGAACATTAGCCAGAGGCAGGAGGCAGGGCGAGTCGGGGAGAGAGCCAGCCCAGCCCTCGCCGTCGATGCAGGAGTGGGTTTCCTGGGGGAGCGAGGCTGGCCCTGCCGCTGCCCGCTGTCCATCTCGCTCATGCTCGCATGCCCTGCTGCTGGGTGTGTGGGCGCCCCCGACCCAGACGCAGAGTGCTGAGCCAGGCTGGCGGACGTCTGTTGTCTGTGGATTCCCCACAGCTGCAGGCAGTGGGCCCTGGGCAGTGGTGTGTGCGTGGGGTGGGACCAGCGCCCCCGACCTGGGCTTCCGATTGGCTCTCTGCACTGGAAGAACAAGGCTTGCTGGGGAAATGGCCAGGCCTGGGTCCGCCACGTCCTGCCGATGGACGCCTTGCTGGCGACGCCGAGCCAGCTGTTTCCGGTTTGGGCTATGGTGACTAGAGCTGCTGCAACCGCTGACTTGGGAAATTCCCCCGAGGGAGGGATTGCGGGGTTGCTGCAGCCTCATCCACAGGGCAGAGGGCGGGGACGGCATGCACCTTGTGGTGCCGGCACCGGCCCTGGCGGCCGTGGGAGGGGGGTATGTGCCGCAGAGCATGCTGGACACAGACTGCTGCCTGTCCCGAACTCGGGCGCTCTGGATGCCAACTCTCCTGGCAGAGAGAAGCCCTTCCTCAACCGAGCTTCCCGATCCACGAAGACTCTGCTCACCGCAGTTAGTGTCTGAAACCATGGTCCCTGCCGGCCCTCAGCCTTGGGGGGGGGGGGGGGCGGCGGACACAGGCCCCGAAGCCCACCCATGGGAATCCCACGGCCTCCTCTTGCTTTGTCAGCCAGGGCCGGGACCTGCGACTGTGCCTCTGGAGCCTGGCAGAGGGCAGGAACGCCGTCGTGGACTCCGTGCCCCTGGAAAGCGTGGGCTTCTGCAGGAGCTCCGTCCTGGCCGGGGAGCAGCCGCGCTGGACGCTCGCCGTGCCAGGCCAGGGCAGCGACGAGGTGAGGACCAGCCTGCCACTGGGCGCTCAGGGTAGGGGTGGGCACCCACCAGCACAGGACCCTGCGGGAGCAGCTGGGGTCTAGTTTGGGGTCTGGGGTCTGCCACCCAACTGCAACTCCAGGGGCCACCAGAGGTGAGTGAGCAGCTGGCTGGGCCCTGGTGGTGTGCCCACCTCGGATCTCCCCTCTCCCACACTGCCCAGGGCAGTGGAGAGGATCAGGGAGGGGCTCAGGGGGCACTGGCTGCATCGCCCACAGAGGAGAACAGCCCAGGATGGCTGAGTGCCAAGGACAAGGCCACCAGGAGTGGATGGGGAGAGACCGCCCGGGTCTGCAGAGGACTGGAGCAGGAAGAGCCTTCTGGGTAGAGGCAGGAGATGGTGGGAGAGACATGGAGGCCCTGGTGAAGCTGGGGCGGGAAGGGGAGCGGCACAGCACCAGGCACCATGTCAGGGCTGGGGTGCAGGGGTGAGGGATGGCAGTGACCGCCGTCCCAGGGGGAGGTGGGCAGGGGTGCATCCAGTGGATGGGGCTACACCGGGGCTGGGGGGTCGCTGGCAGGTGGCGTTCAGGCCAAAGTGACCAGAGGCATTGGTGACAATGAGAAGGGCCAGGCTGGACAGCAGTGTCCATAGCCCTGAGCACTGGGGAAGCCAAGACCTCCAGGAGCAGGAGGGGTGCGGCTCACTGTTGCCCCAGGGCCAGAGTGGGACCAGGGAGGGCCTCCTGCACCCGCCCAGAGCCTCTGCAGCCAGCGGCGGCTCAGCTCGGGCAGGGCGGCTCCGCCAGAGCTGGCAGCCCAGGGCCCTGCGCACGGCTCACCTTGGCCCGCAGCCAGGAAGAGCCGTCGTGGCTTCGAGCAGATTCATAAATAACGAGACGGGAACAGGCATTTATTTGCTCGTGATTGCGTTTAAATCGCCAATTAGGAGCTACACACACTTCTCTTGCTGGTTTGCCAAAAACCTGCTCTGAGTTTTATTAATGTGAGAAAGGGGCGTGCTCACTCCTGGACCGTGGCAGCCAGCAGTGCCAGCTCCCTGGGAGCTGCCAGACCCTGGAGATGCCCCCCCGCCCCGCCAGGGCCAGCGCTGCCGGCCGCTCTCCATGTGCTCCCATTGCAGCCGCTGGCTGGCAGACGGTCAGCTTGCCCCCACCCCCACCCTGGAGGCTGCACGCTGGCTTCCTGGCCGCGGCTCTGCCCGTGCGGGAAGCATATGTATTTTCCAGGAGCGGCTGGTGTGGGGACCTTGGCATCCCCGGGGAAAAGGGCTGTTTTCCACAGTCCCACCTGGAATCTGCCTGGACCGGGCCCTGGAAAAGCCTCCCTGGCTGTGCCCAGACAGTGCCCGGAGCTCTGGGTGGCCACACCTGCCCGAACCCAGCATCTTCCTTCCCTTCTGGAAGCAAGAGTGTAGTTGGGTGCCAGGTGGCAGGCTCCCCAGGTCTGTACAGGAGGTTCTGTGGCCCCTCCCCTGACCCCAGAGGCCCATTCTTGTGTGCCAGCCTGCCTGCCAGGGCTGCCCGCAGAAGGGTTCCGTAGGGGCCGCCACCCAGGCTCCCCGCACAGCTCCCAGCTTGGACCTCAGGGCCGCCCTGGTTTCCACACTCCCCTGCTGCCCTCGCCGGCCTGGGTACCCTGCTGTGCCCGAGCCCATGCTCACCACCGCGGGGACCTGCGGGCCGTGAGCCAGGCTCCCCAGAACGTCCAGCCAGCCCCAGGTGGCCGCCAGGGCTCGGGTTCATGTGGGCCCCGCCCCCGCCCCGGCCCCTCCCACCGTGGCTGCAGTCCTGCAGCAAGCAGGGAAGGGCTCGGAGCCCCGCCCCCAGCCCCCTTCTCTGCCCAGGTGTCCCCGCGTCCTCTTCCCCACGTCTCCTTTCACTGTGCAGCAACTTCTCCCTGAGCGATTTCCCCTGAGGAGCCCTAGGTGCCCAGACAGCCCCCACCCATCTGGCCCGCCTGGTCGCCTCCTCGTCCCAGGGCTGTGACGGCCTTGGACAGCCTCATCCCATTGCCGCAGTTGTCGCCCGTGGGCGTCTTCAGTCAGGCAGCTCACCCGAGGCCCCTGGGTGCTGGGCCTGAAAGGCAGGGAGTCTGTGTGCGTGTGCGTGTATGTGTGTGTGCAGTATGTGTGCGCATGTGTTCATCTGGGCATGTGTACACGTGCGTGTATGTGTGTGTGCAGTATGTGTGTGCATGTGTTCATCTGGGCATGTGTACATGTGCGTGTATGCATGTGTGTGCAGTATGTGTGTGTGCATGTGTTCATCTGGGCATGTGTACACGTGCGTGTATGTGTGTGTGTGCAGTATGTGTGCATGTGTTCATCTGGGCATGTGTACACGTGCGTGTATGTGTGTGTGTGCAGTATGTGTGTGCATGTGTTCATCTGGGCATGTGTACACGTGCGTGTATGCGTGTGTGTGCAGTATGTGTGTGTGCATGTGTTCATCTGGGCATGTGTACACGTGCGTGTATGTGTGTGTGTGCAGTATGTATGCATGTGTTCATCTGGGCATGTGTACACGTGCGTGTATGCGTGTGTGTGCAGTATGTGTGCATGTGTTCATCTGGGCATGTGTACACGTGCATGTATGTGTGTGTGCAGTATGTGTGCATGTGTTCATCTGGGCATGTGTACACGTGCATGTATGCATGTGTGTGCAGTATGTGTGTGCATGTGTTCATCTGGGCACGTGCACATGTGCGCCTGTATGCAAGTGTGCATGTGCGTATGTGCACACGTGCCTGTGTGTTCATGTGTACGTGTGCACTTTCATGCATGTGCACGCGTGTGGGCATACTCCAGGACTCACGTTTTGCGGCAGGCCAGTCAGAGCTGTGAGCCAAGCTGGCAGAAGCGCCGCCATCAGGGGAGTGTGTGGCCCAGCTGTGGGGGGCAGGGGTCAGCAGGACTGTGCTGCTGAGGGGCAGTCTCAGCTCCCTGCCCCTGCGCGGTGGCAGCGCTCAGCCCAGGCCCATCCTGTGTGGGCCAGGGAGCAGTGAGGCTCTCACCCGCATGGTCACTCACTGCTCTCTGGGGCACTACCTCCCAACCCGGCCACACAACAGCCCCAACCGCTTGGGACCTCAGGCTCTTTGTTTGCAAGCCTAGGGGAGCGCAGAGTTGGCCAGGCTTTCTGTCCCAGGTGGTTGGCGTGGCTGCAGCCACACGAGTGGTAGGGAGCCACCATCACTGCCACCTGGGGTGGTCAGGGCCTGCAGAGACCCCCAGTCCCCGGAGCACTGGCGGAGCCGACCAGCCAGCCACACAAACGCCAGCCCAGCCGCAGCGCACCTCGTGGGAACCCCTGCTTCTCAGAGCTCTGCAAGAGGGGCTGTCCTGACCCCAGCAAGGGAAGGGAGGGACCCAGGACAGCCCAGCTGGGGGCTGATTCTGGTCTGGGCGTTCCAGCACCTGAGTCTGCCCCTTGGGACTCTGCTTGTCCCCCTGGGGACGGTCAGCACATGCACAGCTCAGGTGGACAGGACAGGCTGGGCAAGGTCCACGGCCAGTGTCCAGGGGACACAGGCACAGGGGGTGCTGGGAAAGCCAGGACTCCTTCCCTAGGCCGGCTCGGGGGGGGGTCCTTGGCGCTGCTGTGCCAGTCCTTGCTCCGCTGGACAAGCCTGAGGTCACCCCATGTGAAACCTGCAGCAGGAACCGGAAGCAGAGAGAGGCAAGCGAGCCAAGCCAGCGCCCCGCCAGCCCCACCCAGAGGCCCGGGGCGGCTGCCATGCAGCCAGCGCCGAGGGCCGGTCACTCAGGCACCATGCGAACACTTGGTCACAAGCACCCAGCAAGCCCCCAGGCCCCAGGAGTGAGCAAGCGAGCGGGGAGCCCATGCGCAGCGTCCCAGTTAGGAGACTGGGCTCCCGCGGGGAGGGGGACAGAAACTCACAGCGGCCTTGGCTAATCGCCTTAGAAGTCTCGTGTTTGTACAACTCCAGCCCGCCCTGGCACCGGCCCAGATCGGCTTGTTTTCTCACCGTCAGGTTCGGATTCTGGAGATGCCATCCAAGACGTCGGTGTGCACCCTGAAGCCGGAGCAGGGCGCCAAGCTGGGCATGCCCATGTGCCTGAGGCTGCAGCAGGTAAGGCGGGCGCACGCCGGCCACGCCCCCGCCGCCGCCGCCATGAGTCATGCCCCATGCAGGGTCTGATTTATCCCCGGACCCCTTCCAAGAACATGTGCACACCACCCCCGGCAGCCCGTGTCCCCCGCCCTGCCCCCCTGGGCTGCTGCCTGCAGAAGGGGCTCCCCTGTAAATCACCAGAGAGGCCAGGCCTGGCTGGAAGCTGCAGCCCAGTGGTGGGTGCCCATCCTCTTCAGGCCTCACAGTCAGGGGCTGCTCTCCGGAGGGACCGCGCCTGTGCCTTTGGTGCCAGCTCAGCCCGGCGAGCCCGGGCGTCCGTGCTTTGCTGGGGAATGGCTCTCCTCTCTCCCTCCTAGAGGCGGAAGTGGGTTTTAGGCGATGGCTTTCCCCACGGCCACACCCAGGATTCCTGAGCCACAGCCGTTTTCCATCTTTCTAGACTGTTCTTTCTGGATAGAGGGGCGGGGGGAGGGGTGGCTGGCAGCACGGCTGGCCTGGGTCCAGGGTTGCAAGGTCACCAAGAGCTCCTGGGGTCAGGTCCGGGCAGCAGAGTACCGGCGTCCTGGGAATCCCAGGCTCAGTCACTGTTAGGCGCTGGGCTCAGAGTGCCTGCCTGCCTGCCTGCCTCAGAGCCACCCTGTGCTGGGCCGGGGGCGGGGGAGGGGACTCCTGTCCCCAGTGCCCTTTGAACTCTTCCCAAGAGTTGGGCTTTAGGCTCGTGCTGCTCAGAGGTGCCTGTGTGCCAGGCAGGATCCACGCCAGATGTGCCTCCCCCAGGGAGACCTGGAATAAAACCGGGGCTTCGGTGTTGCCCCTGGTGGAGGCGAGGAGGGGATGGGGGGGGGGGGGCTTCTGAGGGAGCCCCTGGGCTAGCAGGTGTGTGTCCAGGCCTGAGGCCTGCAGGCGGGCAGTGACCACAGTATCTCAGGGCCAGACGGATGCCCCTGGCTGCACCCTGGGAGCCGTGGCGTTGCACAACCGTGTAAAAATTCCAGCAGAAAAATGTGTCGGAAGGGATGTACCAACTTGTCAGGGTAATTAGCACAGCCGACAGGAGGACAGGCGGTGATTGTGTCGGGGACACGAGACCCGGCCTGAGGCTCTGGCTCCCGGCCCTGGAGTCTCAGGTCCCTGCAGCCGTCCCGGCCTGCGTTGGATGGCAGAGAGTTGGCAGAGGCCCTGCTGCAAGTGGCTTCCGCTCCCCCATGGGACCCGCTCCCACTATGGGCTGTAGGCTGTAGGTCTCCGTAGGGAGTGGGGGAGGAGCCAGAGAAGAGCAGATGGGGCCACTTCCGGTCAGGAGCCGCCAAGGCTGCAGCCATCAAAGCCCCTGCTCCAGAAAGTCTGTCCCTGGGAGGAGGCCGGGAGACCCCAGCAGGGAGTGGGGTTGGCCAGGTGAGGACCTCAGGGCCAGGCCGGCTGCTGGGCACCACTACAGGTGTTCTCTGAGCATCAGGCTCACAGGCCACACGCAGGCTTCACGCCGAGCCTGGCCAGAGCCGCTCTCGGCGGTGAGCAGAGCCCTGGGCCCAGGAGACCAGGAGGAGAGCACAGGCAGGCTAGGCGGAAGGTGACACAGGTAAGGGAGCCGAGCCACCGTGTAGCGTAACAGACCCCACTGGGCCCCAGGCAAGGTCTTCAGAGGCCCGGCAGTGGCTGGGATCCAGACAGAGTACCTGGCCCCGACCCTGCCCTGCACAGCTGCCGGCCGCCGGAGCCCTGTCTGGGGAGCCCGAGCTCTGCCTGAGAGAACCATCCTGGGTCCCCATGCTCGGGGCTGACGAGGCAGGAGCAGCACGCAGCGCGGCTGGGCCCCACGCACGTAGGTGCAGGGTCCTCATGTCAGGGACGACGCTGGGGAGGCACAGCCGCCACCCGCACCCCTCTGGGGAGCCGCCCTCCTTCCTGCCCCCCAGTGAAGGCGAAGTCGCCAGAGCACCGTGGTTTGCAGCCCTGTCCGGGCACACAGAGGTGGCCTCTGGACCAGCTCTGGACCAGCTCTGGACCAGCTCCGGCCTTGGCAGGTGTACCGCGGCCACACGCAGGCCCTGGTGCCTGCGTCCGTCCCCCTGCCCAGCCTCAGTCTCCCCTTCCGACCTGCAGGCAGCCCTGGCGTCTACTCGTCAGAGCCACGGGTTGCACCCAGGCCTCCTCCAGGGTGACGCGGGGTCCCAGCCCACTCCTCTCCTGGGGCTGTTGCAGAGGATAAATAAACGAGGCGTCTGCCCAGGGCACAGAGCCCTCTGACCCCGGCCCTCATTTATCACGACGGCACGGCCCCGCGGAGCGGCTCACGCCAGGCTGCCGGGCAGGGGCGGGGGGTGGGGGCGGCTTCCGCAGCCATGCGGACGAGGCCCAGAAAGTTCATTTTCATGGAGGGAGCTCGGGATGCCCCTGGCTGGGGGCTCTGGACGGGTGACCCGCGTAGCAGGCCGGGGAGAGGATGCGGGAGCACGGGTCCTCCCCGGGCGTGAGAGAGGCGGGGAAGGGGCAAGTGGGACCTGGCCGGCTGCACGGTGAGGGAGCCAAGTCTCGCGGCTGGGGCTGCTGGCTGCCAGGGCACACGGGGAGCACAGGACAGGCGGGAGCCCCAGAGCCCCTTCCACCCTGAAGCTCTGTGGAGACGGGGTCCCTGATTCTGCTGCCTGCCCCGCCCGCAGGCTGACTCCAGCCCCCGCCCCCTCCTCCTGGCTGGCTATGAGGACGGATCGGTGGCCCTGTGGGACGTGTCCGAGCGGAAGGTGTGCAGCCGCATCGCCTGCCACGAGGAACCGGTCATGGGCCTTGACTTCGACCCCCAGAGGGCCCGGGGCGTCTCAGGCTCGGCGGGGAAAGCGCTGGCTGTCTGGAGCGTGGACGGGCAGCAGGCCCTGCAGGTCAGTGTGCGGGGGTGGGGTGGGGGCCCGGCCCCATCCATCCTGCCCTGCACTAACAGTCTGATAGGCTGAAACAATATTTAGGCATGAAGAGGAGCCGGCGCACATCCCCGGCTAATCCATCACGCGGAGGCGGGCGCGGGCGGCACAGGAAGCAGGGGGCGTGGGCGCGGCCGAGCGTTCACATGGTTTGGGTTTCTCGCAGACCCCGGGTTAGCAGCAGTCACGTCTTGTCCATCTAGCGAAAAGGCACGTAGAGTACTGAGGAAGGCTCAGGCCCCTTTGTGGGAAACTCAGAGGAATTTGTTCAGTAAGGAACTGATTAATCAAAAAAAAAAAAAAAAAAAAGGAAGAGGGGGACTTCATGGAGCCGAGGCCCCCTGTGGTGGTCTGCGGGCAGGCCCCGAGGGAGGCCGCTGCTCACGGGCAACAGGAACGCCTGAGGCCTCGGGGCCCAGTGGGAGCTCCTACAGATCTTCCCACAATGCCTGTGGACTCTGCCAGCCAGCCTGGCCTGGCCTGGCTCCAGGGTGCTGGTGTCCAGGCCTGGGCCTGCAACCCTGGTGCCCGGCACGGGGTGGCCAGGCCGCAGGCGTGGCTCATTTGAGAAGCTGGAGGTGGTGCAGGCCACATGGGGCCTGAGGTGCTGGGGCATCCCGGGTCTCGTGGCCCCCAGAGGGTGGGCTTGGCTGCAGAGTGGGCTCTGGGGGCGGGCGAAGACCCTCCTTGTGAGCTACGAGCCTTAGACGACCGAGACTTGAGCATGGCCGGTGAGTGGAAACAGCTCTGCACCCAGGTGGGGGCGGGAAACCCCAGGATCCCAGCCCTAGAGCGCTGAGGACAAGGCCTGTGGGCTGTGGAGGGCCAGGCCGAGCCAAGGCCAGCCCCCAAGGGGAGAAGCTGCCTGGCAGGTGTGGTGCCTGGAGCTCAGAAGGGGCCTTAGCTTTGGCCATCAGGCCCACGTGGGAGTGGGCACTGCCAGCCTCCCAAGGCGGGAGGGATGGAAAGGCCCCCAGTGAGAATAGGGACACGCTGAGGGGACAAGAGTGCTGCTGAGTGATGGCTGGGGTACAACCGAGGGACTTGTCACAAGGTCATCCTGGGACAGGGGTCACCGGGACATAAGGTGATGTGGCAGCCCAAGGAAGGCGCGGCACCCAGCGGAGTTGGGGCCAGCTTGAGGGCCAGCGGCAGCAGGGGTGGGGCATCTGGGGCTGGTCCCTACAAGGTGCCCGGGAGCTGAGTGGAGGGGACGGCATCTGTGTGCCCATCCGTGAGACAGGCAGGGAGGCCCTGCTGCAAGGGGCGGGGCTCCCCAGCCGCCACCTGGGAAGAAGGTGGCCCCAGGTGGGAGGTGGGAGGAGGTGGGGGCCAGGCAGAGAGCTGTCAGTCATTTCACAAACTGGAGGCTGAATGGGGCGCTGAGTCCTCAGTCTGTGCTGAGCCTGGCGGGGCGGGGGTGGGGGTGCTGAGCTGGCCAGGTGGGCGCGGCGGCGGCCAGGCGGCGGAGTGGGGTGGGGGTGTCTCCCTCACACCCTGCTCCCTGGCGTTTCTCCTGCAGTGGTTTTGACTTTGCCAAGGGCTGGACACCCAGGCAGCTTTCCTAAGGGCTCCGCAGGGGCTGCAGCCCCAGCCACACTGCCTTCCCCCTCGCCCCGATCCCCTGCCTGCACCCAGGACCCCGGGGAAGGGCCCTCCTGTTGCCCCGGGCCAGATCCGCCCTGCCTCTCCTGGTGTGTTTGGGAAACAGCTGCTGGAACTTAAGACTGAAATTTATGGGCACGTTCCGGTGCAGAGACGAACTTTTACTCTACTAATGAATCGAAAAGTTAAAGCAGAAGGGGGACCAGGAATTAATGAATCGGAAAGTTAGAGCCGGGGAAAGGGGGGAGGCGCATCAAAGCGGGCGCACGGCTCCGTGCCGGGAGGGAGGGTGCAAGCCGGTGCGCCTGACCCGGCCTCACGTCCAGCGCTGGCCCCAGAGGCCTTGCCCTTAAGGAGGAAGCTTTGCTAAGAAACCCCACCTGAGGGCGTCCCTGACACCTGGGAGCAGGTGAGGCAGCCTCAAGGCCCTCAGCGTCCACGGGGGCCCCACGGCGCTGTGAGAGCCACGTGGGCCCGCACGGATGGGCCTCCCTCGTGTCCTCCCGCCGAAGCCTCTAATGAGCCCACATCAGTCTCCCCCCGCGGGCTCTGGGAGCAGAGCCGCGGGTGAGGTTCCCGCCGCGGAGCGTGGGTAATCGGAACCAGATGGCGGCCGTGCCGTGCATTCCTGGCACCTGAGGTCATGCGCTGAGCGAGCCACTGGTGGCCAGAGATGCTTCCCAGAGGGTCCCGGGCCGGGCCGGGGGCTGCGGCAGTGACAGGAGGCCATCCTGGTCCGGACGCGCCCCAGGGGTGCCGAGGACGGGGCAGGGAAGGGGGGGATACCCAGCCACGCCATGGCCACATGCCCGTCTTCCCGAGGTGGCTCTCCTGTGAGCGTGGGGCCGGGGGCCGCGGCTGCCATCGGGCCCAGGTGGCGCGCAGGCCTGTGCCTCCCTCCCACACGTGGCGCAAGAGCCGCCGCCTTGAAGCGGGACTGATTTACAGCCAGGGGTATTTTTAGGTCTTTAAGTAATAATGAGGCTCCCCCACCCCAAGTCAGCCCCGGGCCAGGATCAGAGCAGCGGAGGCTCTCCCTGCCCGGCCAGGGCCGGCGCCCAGGGCCGCGGTCCCATCTGCACCACAGCGCCGACCACTGCCGACCCACTCCCCGGCTTGTTAAACCTTTTACTTACTGATTCCTTCACTCATTTATCCACTTGTTTATTTCTTCATTTAGTTGATGTGAGAGCCCGACAGCTCCCATTTGCTGGTTCACTCCCCAGATGCCCGCAAGGACCAGGGCTGGGCCGGGCTGGAGCTGGGACCCAGGAACTCAGTCCAGGTCTCCCACGTGGTTGGCCGAGACCCAGTGCCTGGAGCCGTCGCTGCTGCCTGCCAGGGTGTGCCTGAGCAGGAGGCTGCAGGCGGGAGCCAGGGCCAGGGACTGGCCTGCAGGCGCCGCCCCCGCTGCACTCAGCACCCGCCAGTAGCAGTCACCAGGGGCTGCCAGGCAGGGACCACAGGGCCCAGGGCCAACTCCTCTGTCTACCATCACTGTGGCCCAGCTTTGTACCCACCCCTCCTTCCTCAGGGCATGTACAGGTCTTTCTGAAATGCTATTTAAAAAAAAAAAAAAAAAAGGTTTGTTTATTTATTTGAAAGTCAGAGTTACACAGAAGGAGAGAGAGGTCCTCCATCCGCTGGGTCACTCCCCAGTTGGCCACAACTGCTGGAGCTGCGCCAGTCCGAAGCCAGGAACCAGGAGCTTCTTCCGGGTCTCCCATGCAGGCGCAGGGGGCCCAAGGACTTGGGCCATCTTCTACTGCTTTCCCAGGCCATAGCAGAGAGCTGGACTGGAAGTAGAGCAGCTGGGACTTGAACCGGTGCCCATATGGGATGCTGGCACTGCAGACAGTGGCTTTACCCACCACACCATAGCGCCGGCCCCAGGTACAGGTCTTTATCCACATGAGAATCACCTCCCTCCAGGGCTCCCCTGCTTCTTGCTGAGATGTGCCAGGCTGGCTCTGCCTCTGTGTTGTCACCTGTTTCCTGCAGCAGCTGGGTGGGATATGGAGTCCCTCCTGTTCCCCGTGGCAGGGGCTGGGTGCCTCCACCACCCTCTGCCTGCGGGGACCTTGGCTCAGGGCTGTGCCACAAACTCCCACTTGTCCTGGGCTCTGGGTGTCCATGGCAGGGTCGAAAGCAGCTCTCTTCTCTCTGGAAACGTCATGCCATCAGTGCATTCCTATAAAGAAGGAAAACTCCAGGGAAGGACCCCTTGGGGTCCCCTGGCCCAGGAGAGCAAAGGGTGGCGGTGCGACAGCAGCCTGCTCTGAGTGGCAGGGCAGGGCCTCCGGGGCCTGCAGACACAGGCAGGTGCCTCTCCCCACCACCGCCACCGCACAGGCACGTGGCTGTGTCTGCCCCCAGCCTGCCCCAGTGTGTGCCAGCCCTTGCAGCCAGGGCCCCGTCTTGCCCTGTGTGGAGAGGGGCGCCCAGGCGGGGCTCCGCACTGCGCCATGGCAGTTCAGCTGCTGGAGGACGCGCACAGGCGGGGAGCATGGTGGACCCAGCGCCAGGTCCTCTGGGCACAAACAGGAGGTAGGCACAACGCCCAGGGCATGTGGAGACAGTGTTGGTGGCAGTGGGCCGAGAGCAGTGGGCTGGGGGCGCAGGCCTCTGGGGAGGCTGCTGTCCCCAGAGCGGCAGGCACGAAGGGGCTGAAGGCAGTGCAGGTCGCTCAGCAGCCCAGACCCTGCCTTATAGAGGGCCGAGGGTGGACCAGTGAGGTCTGTGCTGGGCAGGTGGACAGGGAGCCTCCACTGCCCCCTCCCCCACGGAGGAGCCCGCGGCGTGAGTGGGTGCTGGGCTCCGCCTCCCAGACTCAGACAGTTCTCCTCCCCACTGTTAAATTAGCGAACGTCATCATTCAGTGGTTCTCTTTAACCTTCAAACAACCGAATACCCCTAAAAACACCTGCCGGACGAGGCATCTGCTGCCCGCACCCCGTACACGAGCTCTGCTTCTAGCCCGGCCGCTCCACTTCCCACCCAGCTCCCTGCCACCATGCCTGGGAGGCAGCCAGTGACAACTCTAGTGGTCGGGCCCTGCCGCCCACGTGGGAGGCTGGGGTGGAGCTCTGGGCTTCTGGCTTAGGCCTGGTTCAGTCCTGACTATCGTGTGCATTTGTGGAGGGAACCCCACAGATGAAAGATCTCTGTCTTGCTCTGCCTTCCAAGTAGATTAAAAAAAAAAAAAAAAATTGTGGATCTTTAAAAAAAAAAAAAAAAGTCCGGCGCCACAGCTCACTAGGCTAATCCTCCACCTGCAGCACCGGCACATCGGGTTCTCGTCCCGGTTGGGGTGCCGGATTCTGTCCCGGTTGCCCCTCTTCTAGTCCAGCTCTCTG